CCACTTCCAGAGACCAGCCGCTTCAGGGATCGAGCACCTAACTTCCGCCTAGCAGAGTCCCTGAAACATGCATCACAGCAGCTTGCAACTAACCTCAGCCTGCCACTGCTCTGCAGAGGAACGGCGCCCGCCGCACCCAACCGGAGAGCCTCAGAGCTCACCTATCCCCTGCCACACCCGCCGGCACCGCAAGCCGTCGCCGCTTCGCTGGAGGCAAGAGCCAGGAGAATGGCCCAATGTTAGCAGCTGTGCTGTGACTGCCAGAGGGGGAGGGGAGCTGCTGTATTGCCAGCGGAATGGGAGTCAGGTATCGAGCGAAGGGACTGAAACCCCGCCGCAGGAGACAAGCCAGGCCACGGATCCGCAGGCGGCTGTGGCTGAGACACTCCCACCGTATCGGCCCGTGGGCTCTGGCAGAGCCACCGACGCCCCCCTTTGCTCTGGGGAGGGAGAAACTGGCCCTGGGTTTCCGGGGAGGGCAGGGTTCCCGACAGGAGCCGGGACCTGAAGGCGTCCGCATGTTAATTGCTGGGCTCTGCTCCCGACACTCGGCTCAGTCGCGCGGCACGGGCAGCCCCCCTCCCCCGCAGCCACCAAGCAACGCCTCCGGCCCTCAGGCAAGCGGGAGGAAACGAGGCACCACACATGCTTGCGGAGGAGGCGAGGGGGACGGGAAAACGCTGCACCGCTGTGGAGGGGCTCTAGCTGGGAGCCACGGCTGTTAGTCCCTCAACCCTCCGGTATCCCGGCTACCCCGAACAGGCTAAGCCCCCTGCCCAGCCCCCCAGCAACACCTGGCTCCTCGAGGCCCATTTCCATGCACTCCCAGCCAGTCACCTTGCACGAGGGACAGCAGGACGTGCTGCGGTCCCAGGGGAGAGCCGCAGGCGTGCGGGGCTGGGACGGTGCAGCCTTTGCGACTGGAGCACCCACTGAAGACATGCCACTGGGAACCCCCCGTGCCAGCAGGCCTTGGCACGCTGAAGGGCTGTTGCCAGGCCAAAGGACCCCAAAGCAGCCTTCACGCAGCCCCCTCCCCGCGTCCTGGACGGAGCAGGGCTCAGGCCGCGCCTGCATCCGGGCACATGCGCAGACGCAACCCACCTGAGCCCTTCAGAAACAACCCTGGCCTTTGAGATTCAAAATTTACTCCTCCCTGCTATCGCCACTTCAGTCCGCCCGCTGCAGAATCGGCCCTTCCCGCCCGGCCCCAGCCAGTGCCGCTTGCTTTGCTGGGGCAAGTCGCCCAAAGGCAGCGAACGCCGAGAGGCAGGAGAGGGAGCAAAGCCAGACAGCCCCGGAAACGCAGCACTGGGCCTGTGCCGTGGCTGGCTCCCCATCGCCCACGCCGTGTCTCGCTGGATAGTCCGTGGCAGTGGAGATTTCACCCCGGCCCAGCCGTAGCCTCACTGCACTTCAGACCCCCACGTGCGTATTCTCCTTGGGCTCGCTCAGCGCCCCTCCCTGCGCCGGGGGAGACTCCTGGCCCCACCCAAACGGGGCGGCTCCATGTTCTTCAGCGTGTCCATCGCCTCGCTCGCGCTCAGACGGGAGCCGGCAACATCTGCGCGAGCTGCTCACTTCTTCAGCTTCACGCAGAGCTTCAAGTGGATGTCGCACAGGAAGACGTTCATCAGCTCCTCTCCAGCCTCCCGAGCAACCCTGCTGACCAGCTGACCTCCCACGCCGATCAGCATCTTCTGCACCGCAACCAGAGAGAGTGAGCCCCGGCGCCGCCCGCCCGGCACGGCCACCTCACTGCAGGTGGGGGCCCCGAGCGCAGCGCGGCAGAGGAGGTTTCATTTCAGTGTCTCAGCCTCTCAGGCGTGAGATTCGCAGGACCAGTGCCCGTCACTGAGCATCCCTGGAACCCGCCCGTGGGAGTGGGGGGGGTCTCAGCACGACAGCAACTGAAAAGCCGGCTGCCTGGCACGTGAGGCCTGGAGCCTCTACCCCAGCGGGGAGCGCACGGGCTGTGCCGAGGGGAGGGACCCAGGCCCTGCCGGCGCACTCGGCCCCCCTGCTCCGCGCAGAAGGAAAGGAAAGTGCAGAGCAGGCCCAGTCTCTGACCAGCACCACGCGAGCTCTGGCCTCACCCTCGGTCTCGACTTGCTACAGGCATTTCACGCACGTTGCCACAGGCCCACGGGCCTCGCGTCTGCCCTGCAAGCAGGGCGCAGAGAACTGGCTAAAACCGGGCGTCTAGTCGGCTCCGGGCAAACGTGACTGAACGCCGGGGGGGCACAAAGGGGCCTGCTCCCGCCCTCGGTCTGCAGACCCTCCTTCCTTGGGCCTCCCCCAATCAGCAGGGAACGAACCGAGAGCCCCCCTCCCAACACTCACCACGTGGGTCTCCTTTGGGACCAGCAGGTTCTGCAGGATGGTGAGCTCCCCACTCGGCCCTTCCTCCCACAGCTCCGTCTCCTGCAGCGTTAGGGCACAAACCCACACTCAGCAAAGAGCCAAGTCCCCTCCCTGGCCAAGCACACATGCCAGGCAGGCTTTGGGTGCGCCTGCTCCCCAGGGCCGCCCTCAAGGCGCCCCCAACACGCTAGAGATCCTGCACCCAGGAAGGGGATCTCACCACCAACACCGACGAAGGGCCACCCCTACCTGGAGCACCATGTAGGGCACTTCCTGCGGCAGATACTCCAGTAGCTTCCCCCTGATGATGTTCTCACAGATCTCCTGGGGGGACTGGCTTGTCAAAACCTTGCTGTGGTACTCCCATCGGCCAGGCTTGGCTTGCATCAGGAGGTACCTCTGCCAACACAGAGCAGTTAGAGGGGACCCAGTCACTAGTAGGAGTCCTAGGGGAACACACATCAGAGACGGAGCCCTTGAGAAGTCTGACATGGGGCAGTTGCCTTGGTCAGATGGTCCCATCACCAGCCTCCCAGGGACGCCTCTGTGAGCTGCACGCCAGGGGAAGGCGACAGATCCAAAAACAGCTGGCGACTTCCCCACAGGATATGAGCGGTTATCTAGGGCGAGGCAGAATGCAATGACTTCAGGGCAATTTACCTTCAGCGTCTCCACTGCCTCGCCATTGAGAGCTGCTAGCATGAAGATCTCCCGGAAGTGGGGCCAGCCTTTCTTGATCTTTCCATCTCTAGATACCTGGGGGGTCGCTGTTTGCGCCTTCTCTGTGCCTCCCAACACATGGCCCGAGTCTGATGCTTTTGCGTCACAACTGGTATCTGAGCCAGGGCCCCTCTGGACTTCACTGCCCTCCTGGAGGCAACCCCCATCTTTGGGCGCGTTCTCCGGCGTGCACGCTGGGATGCTTGGAAGGGGATTATTTCTGGCGGGGTCTAAATGCGTCCTAGACAAAGATTTCACGTGCAGCTTCTTTCCATTTACGACTCCCTCGGTGAGCTCGGTTACCAGGTCTAGCAGAAGGGCCTTTTTCTTCAGCAGATCCACCTGAAAAGGAGAGCTGGGTCAGGGGTCTGTCCCAGGTGGGACTGCCCCATGTAAGAATCCCAGACTTGAGGAGAGGGAGGGAGGGAGGAAGCAGGCCTAGGGGTTTGAATGGCATTTAATCGGCTCATCGACCAGTGGATGGAATTTCCGTCGATCGGGGGGAACTGCAGAGCCACAACGGGGTTAGCTCCCAGCCCCGGGCGCTAACCCCGCTGCAGCTCTGCCTATTAAATAAAGGCTCTTACTACATTTAAAAGGCAGAGAGGTGGCTCAATACATTTATAAAGCACAAGTGCAGTGGGGGGACCGGGCGCGAGCTGGGAAACAGCTGATTCCCGGCTTGTGCCTGGTCCCTGTTACATCTCTGCCTCCCCTGCCCCCCGCGGAGATGATGCTGGGGGGAGGGGGAAGCAGCTTTTAAGCTGGCTTCCCCCAGCACCGGCTCCTGCTCCCCCCCTTGCTGCCTCTCTGATAGAGGGAGCGGGGGCGGAGGGGGGAGGAGGGAAGCGACTAGCTGAGTCACTAGTAGACTATCCAATAAGCATACACTTATCAGATAGTCGACTAGTCGCTTCCACCCCTACTCAGACACGTAAGATCTGCACTATTTGCTGCAGGCACAGTCACTCCAAGTACATTAGAAGACACTGGAAACCTTCAACTAGATTGTTCTCTTCTGTGGCATTTACCAAGAAACAACATTTAACGGAACCCCCCCGGGGGGGCAAAGGAAAGCGGCCCTGCATGGCATGGCCAAACACTAACTCGCTGCATAACAATGAGCACTTGGACCCTTCCTTTACCTTGTTCATGACCAGGATGCTGGGGATCTGGGGGAACCGGGAGAGACACTGCAGCACCTGGGAACTCAGGCAAGTGTGCGCCCAGCGTTCTGACACATCCACCAAAACCAGCACTGCCAAACAGAGAGACACTTAAACCCATCTGGGCGATCGCCTCCTTTACTACCCCCGCGATTACAGCCTCTTTCTTCAAGCCACAGGCCACAGTACGGCATGTGGGCTTGAGTCACGGGGCAGGCCTTCCTAAGGTGATGAAACAATGCACCGTGGCACATCGTCACAGAGCCACACAAACCAACCCTCCACAACCCAGCTCCACCCATTCATCCACGCTGCCTCCTTGGCCCCAAGATACATCGGGGACAGTTCCTGTGTGCGCCGCGCCTCCCCTCCGCTGTACCCCTCGCACACCCAGGAGACGCCAGGGCTGCTTCCGTAAGCATGTGGGCACTCGGATACCACGGCAACGGGGGCCAGACAAAGTACCCACCACAGAGAGCTCAGCGTTTGACTTGAGATAGCGAGAGATTTGGGTCCCACCTAGGTCTGCGTGTTTCATGCTGTCCCAGGGGTCCTGTATCAAGGATCTGTCCAGATTATGCCTGAAAGACAAATACTCATTGCGGAATCGCACCTGCTCTGATCACAAAGTGCCCCCTTTGCCACTTCCGGCAGAGTGGGCGGATTTCCTTTGAGTACCCAGCGAGTACAGCGTCAGCTTTTGATCTACATCCCCTCCCGAGTGCAGCGCCTTGCACGACGGGAGCGCGGAGCCCGGACGCCAGATGCTACTCTAGTGCTGGTAACCATGAGGTGGGGCAGAGGCAAGAACTGTGCGCGGAGACCTTCCCGTTCTATGGACAACAGGCCTCCCCCAGGGATGTGAATGTTTAACCAGTTAACTGGGATTTTAAATCCCTCGCCTCCATCCCAAACAAGCGCCCGTGAGACCCCCTTCATTCTGCGGCGCAAGCTCCCACAATGCATCTCATGCTGATCTCCCCCACTAAAGGGGATACCTTTTGGCTTTCGTCGGGCTGGTGAGGCCAGGCGTGTCCAGGATGATCTAGAAGAAGAAAACCAAAGCAATAAGGATCTTCCAGTAATTACCGATAGGAAGCTAAAACTCGTATCTGGGCAACTGAAGTCGCCTGCAGGGCGTAGGCAAAATGCTCCGCATCGTCAGGGTAACAGTGCCTATCACATATGGAATGTGGCCTACCAGCTGAGTGTCGTCTTCTGTGATGACCCCATAGGCCTTGCAACGCGTGGTGTGCACCTTGCTGGACACTGGGAAAACCTGCAGGAGACAAGTCAGAGGTGGAGCACAGCCAGGAAATGCTGACAGAACCTACCTGCACCCTGGCTCCCAGATGCCGCTTTACCTTTCTGCCCAAGAGCGTATTAGATAGGGTAGATTTCCCAGCATTTGGTGCCCCAATGATGGCAACTCTCAGAACCTTGGGGTTCGCTGGCTCATCTGGCTGGAGCCCCAACAAGTCGTCTTGCTCAGCTGCAGAGAGAAAGGTGTTCAAGTGCTGTAGGAACACGCAATTGCACCAGTCTCTACACATGTAATGGATCTGTCCACCAGAGACTAAAGAGATATCCCTGCTCCCCCAATGGCTGCCTATCTTTCATTACCTGCTCTTTGAGACATGTTGCTCATTTCCATTCCAAGCAGTGTGTGTGGGCTGCATGCACAGCTGGCAGAAGGTTTTTCCCTTAGCAGTACCCGTTGGCCGGCTGTGGTGGCACTTGATATAACCTTACCCTCATCCAGAACAGCCGCAAGTTCCAAGCAAGAACTGAGCAGGGTGAGGGTCAGCAGTGGACAATATACAGCGCTTCCAGGGGGCTCCCCAGCTGACTAACAGGTACCACTAAGGAAAAAAACTTCCAACAACTGTGCATGTGGCGCGCACACTCCTGCTTGGAATCGACATGAGCAATCACTCGATGAACAGCATATTAAGTGGCTAATGAGATTAATCCGGAGCAACGACAAGAATGTGCAGCCTTTAATCCCCATTTCGTTGGGTAACCACCTAATGGACATTTTTCTTTCTGCTATGCTCTCTTTACAGGCTGCTGTTCACACGCCCCTGAGAAAAAAAATCAGGCAGGCAGCTGAGTTTACCTTTCACGTAAGACACTGATGGTGGATGCTGCCCCAGTGCACCTTCTGTCTTTTTCCTGGAAATTCCTAGGATGGAATCCAGGGCAGAGCTGTCTCCATAAAAGCAAGCAGGGGACATGTTGATTCTCTGGGCTCTGTTCTCCAGGAAACATGCAGCCCCGACTGCAAAAATAACACAGCGACACCACCCTAAACCTGCTGCACGCTGGACCGAAAACACTACCAGGAATCCTACGCTGGACAGCCTCAGAACACCGCCGAGAAAGGAGATTCATTTCACCAACGCAAGTCCCACAACCCCGCTAGCAGCTCATGGGTTTTGCGGGTTGCGTGTGGGTGGAAATGACAAGGGCAGCCCCGCACTAGCCAGGGGATCCCAGGGCCAGGCAGAGCGAGCCGAGAAAGGAGATTCATTTCACCAACGCAAGTCCCACAACCCCGCTAGCAGCTCATGGGTTTTGCGGGTTGCGTGTGGGTGGAAATGACAAGGGCAGCCCCGCACTAGCCAGGGGATCCCAGGGCCAGGCAGAGCGAAGAACCGCAGAACGGCGGGCAGGGCCAGGTCACCCACTTCCTCCGCAGCCCGGCGCCAACCCCTCCCCCG